CGAAAGAGTGTGTATGAGTGTGTCGTTATTTTAAATAACGAAGAAGCATACAATAGCATTTGTCGTTGTTTGAACAACATACACTCATAACAACATACACTCATTGTAGTTCGCACGCAGACAAAATACGTCAGCTAATGAAAAGTGAGACTTAAGAAAAATAACATTTATTCGATTCATTTTTATTTTTATGGAACGAAATACAATGCATAATTTTGAAATAAAATGAGTTTAGCTCAAATGAATTTAGTTTCAATCAATCTACTTTATCTTTTGTGAGTGCCACAATGCCATCTTCAACCGGCGCGTCTTTGATTTTCTGGAATGTGCATACGCCAAGATGACATGTTTGAAATCGCAGTTACAAATGTTCTAGCAAATGGTGAAACAGTTGTTGTTGACGACGAATTGGAATTTATTCACATTCCGGGGCAGATTTTAAAAGCACTTGAATTTCAACCTGTATATCAGACCAAAGCCAATGATGAATTGTGTGCTAACACTCCATATAAGGAAAATGTAAGTATTATATGTGGAAAATAGAATTTAAATTGTCGATTTAATACATTGATATACGGTATTTCATTTAGAACGATGGAGACCGTGCGTTTATGATTCACAATGGCAGTGAATCGAAAGAAATTTGGGTATCAGCACATGTGGTCAACGGATTAATAAAAATCAATCGAAATAGGCCGGGAATTGACTTCGATTGCATGTTTCTCAAAGCACTTTTGATTGGCGTATGCACATTCCAGAAAATCAAAGACGCGCCGGTTGAAGATGGCATTGTGGCACTCATAAAAGGTAAAGTAGATTGATTGAAACTAAATTCATTTGAGCTAAACTCATTTTATTTCAAAATTATGCATTGTATTTCGTTTCAAACAGAATTTTTCTCTGTGCGCGTTGGTCAAGACGAAATTCGCATCCGAAAATTTGAAATGTTGCTGGACTCTGCAATCAATGGCATAAAAAACAACAACTTTCAACCGTAACCACATTTATTATTCGTTCATTTTGAACATGAAGATTCCATGTATCAGTTTTTTTATAATCAATAAATAAAAATAAAAATGAATCGAATAAATTTATTATTTTAAATTACGACACACTCGTACACACTCTTTCGTTTTGCGTTTCTCTTTTTCACATTCGCGCATGC